GATGATACTTCATTGTGGTTTTGGTATACATTTTTCTAATGAATAGAGATGTTGAGCTGCCCTCGTCAAGAACTATTCAGATTGCCTACTTTTTAAAAAAATAATTTTTAAAGTTACATTTAATCATTGCACATCTTTACAGCATACAAGATGACTTTTCCCAGTGTGAATACAATGCATGTTAATAAAGTCATACATATTATCATGTACATTATCAACAGATAACTTTCCATTTTTTCTGTTGAAATTTTTCTCCTATCCCCTTCTGTCCCCCTTTATTCACCCCCCTCCTACACTGTTTCTAGTATCTTCAGTTGTCCTCCCTTCTATTATACCTTCCAATCTTTTTGTTTCTGCCAGAATACAGATAGTCTGTATATACTAAGTGGGGAATGCAATGCCTGTCTTCTATAGTCTGGCTTGCTTTGCTTAGTGTTAAATCTTCCATAGTCATCCACTTTGTATCAAATACCAGGCTCTTATTGTAATTTATGGCTGAGTAGTATTCTATAATGTGTATGTGCCATATTTTTCAATCCATTCCTCTGTTCTTGGACATTTGGGCTGATTCCATGTCTTGTTTTATTGGTCTATGAGCTGTTTTGTGCCAGTACCATGCAATTTTTGTTACTATGCAGCTCTGAGATAGGTGTACTAGGAGTTTGATCAGAGCAAGAATGGGCTGAGGGATGCATGGTTTGAGAGAATCAAACTTATTCTATCTACTGGATACAGGGAAGGGATTAGGGGAAAGGAAGAAGGGTGAAGGAAGAGAAGGAGGGAGAATCTAGCTTATTCCTTGTAAACAAGACTCATTTCCCAAGGTCCTTGCTGTTAGATATTAATATTGGAGAAATTACTCCAATTACTTCTTTTCCAAAGATACTCTTCTGGGACTGATTCCCCGAGGCCTTTCCAAAACTGATAAATATGCCTGATGCGGTCCTGTCTCAGCCCCTTCCTTTCTGAACTGAGGTTCAGACATCAGCTCTCAGCTCCCCCAGTTTTGTTCGGGCATCCACAACCTTATATTTGTTTCCTCTTTTATGGAGACTAAAGATCCAGATACAAGTTCTCCTGCTTTTTATCTTTAATCTGTTCCTTCCAGCACTACTGAGGGTCTTTAGAATCCTGACTGTGATTTTTTTTTTTTGATGCACGAGAAAAGTAAAGGCAGCAGAACCGAGGAACTCTGAGAGCAATAGGTAAGGACTGGGCATCTCAGGTTCCCTGTGTGTTTCTTACTTGTTCTTTTCTTCTCTTCTCCATCTACTCTCTCATGAAAATACTCACATGCTTTAAAAAGTCTTCATATAATGTAAGTTCTTACCGTTCAAAAGTAACGTAAGAATACCTCCAATTATTGAGCACTCCATAGCATTCAGAGTGCTGTTACATACCCTGTTGCATGTGATTCTCAAATCTGCAAAAAAAAAAAAAAATTGTGGATTAAATGAGAAGATTCAGAGAGATCATGTACCTTATTCAAGGTTGCACAGCTAGGAATCAAGAGAGGTGTCAAAGCCCAGTTTTCCAACACCAAGTTTGGAACTCTTTTTTCATATCACCCTCACAGTGCTTTCCCTCACACTGCAGAAGGGTTTGTATCTCTAAGGCCATCTGATCACAGAAACGCTCATTAGGCACCAACCCTTACAGATTCAGAGTGGTGCTTTCCAAATGCAGGATCAGAATCAACAAGTATAGGATCAGAATCACCCAGTGTTTGCTATAAAGGATTTAGTTCTCAGAACAGAACCAATATTTTAATGGAGGGGGCCATAAAATTGACTTCTTGTTTTAAAGGTGACCTGATGCACACTGAAGTGTGGGAGAATCTTGCCTTGAGGAGCAGAAAGCAGAAACATTGATTTCTCTGGGTGTGCTTTGGTGTTCCCTCATCACCTGTCGCTGAGGCACCTGAGAGGCATTTGAACCCCAGGCACTAGGCTATTTAGGCTGTGGACTTAGCAGGCAGAAAAGGTTGATCAAATCTTGCTCCTTCATTTACTTAGTTGAGTGACTTTTAGACTTAGCTTCTTTCTGTTTCTGTCTCTCTCACTCATAAGAGAAATAAATGAATAAACTTAATTTTAAAAAATGCTCTCTAGAGATCTGGACCTGTTTGTTTGCACAACTTTACATCTCTCTGCTTTCCTCCTCATTCCAGTCATATTGGCCTATGTTTAGTTCCTTAAACACAGCAAGCACTTCCTTCCTCAGGGACCTTGTACACACAGTTCTGTCTGTAACGCTTTCACTTGCTCAGTATTTTTCTGTTCCTTCATGTCAAAAAGGGACATCAAATGCAAAAGGTGCTTATCCATCTCTACATGGTGAAGTTAAATCTAGTCTACATATTTTCTAGTCTACATTTTAAATTTACTTTTTCTATTGCCAGAGGACTAATACAGTTGTGAAAGAGAGAGAGAGAGATGAAAGAAAGCACTCCTCAGTGAGGTGTACAATTAGGAAAATGGAGGACAATTGGATAAAACATATCAAAGGTCTTGAAAGAGTCACTCATTTTCCATGAGATGTATGTCCTGCTGAGGTTTGCATGTTCTAATACCCAAGTCAATCATGTAGTGCTGGCTGCCTTGGGCAACTTCATCTTCTAAGGCTCTTGATCATGTCCTATGTCTGCATTGTCAGAGCCATCCTCTGAATACTTCAGTCACTGGGAAGCTCAAAGCCTTCTCCATCTGTAATTCCTATTTGTCTGTAGTCTCCCTTTTCTATGGGACAGACAGAAAGAGGTATATATAGAGAGAAATAAAGCACCCCTCAGTAGGGTGTGGTCATGCTGCAATAGCTTCTCCTCCACTTCTTTATCTTGTCAGGATTTTGAACACACACACATACATTCCCAGAGTGTTTTTCAAGCCACCAGGGCTGGAATTTGAACCACAGTCCACAATGTGAAATCCAGCTTCCTTAACCACTAATCTATGGGGCTGGTCCTCTGGTTTATATTGAAAAAATTTTTTTCATTTCATGTTTCCAAAAGGAAAAAGTTCTTGATAATCTAGCTTAATCTTTAATACATTTTCATTAAAGGGACACAGAAATGGAAGGTTGTCCATTGATGATAACATGTATGATTACAATATCTTTAAATGGACTGGTGTGCAGTGTACTTACGCTGGGAAAATTCATTTTACAAGACGTGGTGATGTACAATGATTGAATGTATAAAATAAATGTTAAAAATCTTTAATACATTTTTAATGTTTGGTAAGCTATGACATACTGATCTAATATTTTATTCTAAATAATTAAGGTTTGTCTCTGTGTCATTTATCAAATAACAGAGAAACTTTACTTTCCAGTTCAAAGACTATTGTAGTAATCTGCTAAATTCCACCTGTACTTGTCTCGGTTTCTGATTCCCATCGAGTTCTAGTGATCTGCTCATTCTAGTACCAGTACCACATATTGTAGAGTTCTGATATTTGGCAAAGCAAGTGTTATTCTCTTTTTCAAACTTATTTTTATGTTTATTTTAGAATAATTTTTGATCCCTCAAAGTTCTGCTATGATTTTTTTATTTCAAAGAAGTTAAGTTTTAAATTAATTCAAGTGAGTATACACCTTTGCAATATTTTATTTTCTACCTAGAATCTTGGTAAATCTATTCATTTATTAAATTGTTATCTTGAATCTTTTTGAGTATTTGAAGGTACTGCCAATTCTTGTTATCACTGTAATACTTAGATTAGTTTGTTGATAATATGGATAGGATTGCTTGGCACTGTATTTTAATCTGACTATTGTTTACACACACGCACACACATATGCACACGCAAAGGAACTTCAAAAACTTGGCAGAAAGCAGAATTAAAGTATGAATTTATTTGTTGACAGCATTTTTTAAATCCATAGATATTTTTTCATAATATACATTTTCTGCAAACTTTTTTTGAAGACCCCATATACTATAGTTTGGAGATTTTTTTTTTCCCCCAAAGTTTTGTGTTTTGGAATTTGGTCCCTAATATAATTGCATTGGGAGATGGTGAGACATTTAAGAGGAGACTCACTTTGAAGTGGGTGAGCACCTTGCCAGATATGATTGATGTGTGAGACAGTGTTCTGAGAAAGGAAGACTGTCTTCAGTGTGGGCAGGCACTATCTGATTGGCGGGGAATATAAGAGCAACAAACAGAGGAACTGGAAAAGTCTATTTCCTTCTCTCCCTCTCTCTCTGCACTACCCGCCTTCCTCTCTTTGCTTCTGTCATCCATGTTGTAATACCAGGCCCATTATCTTGGACTTGCCAGCCTAAGTCATGAGCCAAACAAACCTCTGTTCTTTATAAACCACCCAGTAGCAACACAGTAATGGAGATTTTATATATATACATACACACACACACAGACATAGAGAGAGAGATTAGTGTGAGATAGTTTTTGTTTTTAGAGAGATTTTTTGCTATAAAGGCACGTGTGCTTGCCAGACAGAGATAGAAAGTGAGAAATAACCCCCCAGGAAGTATGGCCACGCCACAATCCCTTTTCCTTCATTCTCCTCTCAAGATTTTGTGCATGTGTGCATACCTGCTCAGCATGAGTTTTAAGTCACTGGATCTGGGACTCAAACCACAGTTAATTATGTGGGAGTCCAGTGATGTAACCATTATGCCATCTACCAGTCTCTAGTGTCAGATAGTTTTTTTTTTTTTAAGGTTTATTTATTTATTTAATTTCATTTGATATTTATTTTGTTTTGTTGAGTTTTATTTTTTAATTTGACCAGACAGAGACAGAGAAAGAGAGAAAACAGGAAACTTAGAAAGCAAACTGCCATGTCCAAGACTTGAACCGTGGTCAGCCATATGGGAGTCCAGCGCCCCTAACCATCACACCACCTGCTGGCCCCAAAGCAAAGTAACACCCAATGTGGGGCATGAACTGTCAGATAGTTTTAATGCAAAGAAAATTGATTGATATTGCTTATCATCTTGTCCTTATTCAATTAAGGGCACTTGGTAACATTTGTTGGTGCCAATGTTGCAGAAAGTTGGGGAAATGTATGGAGGCAACCAGAGCGGAGACTCAGAGTTCTTACTCCTGGGGATCTCAGAGAATCCTGAACAGCAACAGATCCTGTTTTGGATGTTCCTGTCCATGTACCTGGTTACAGTAGTTGGAAATGTGTTCATCATCCTGGCCATTGGCTCTGACTTCCATTTACACACTCCCATGTACTTCTTCCTGGCCAACCTTTCCTTCACTGACCTCTTTTTTGTCACCAACACAATCCCCAAGATGCTGGTGAATCTTCAGTCCCAAAACAAAGCCATCTCCTATGGAGGGTGTCTGACACAGCTCTACTTCCTGGTCTCCTTGGTGGCCCTGGACAACCTCATCCTGGCAGTGATGGCATATGACCGCTATGTGGCTATCTGCCGTCCCCTCCACTACACCACAGCCATGAGTCCTAGGCTGTGTATCCTTCTCCTCACCCTATGTTGGGCACTCGCTGTTCTTTATGGCCTTATCCACACCCTTCTCATGACCAGAGTGACTTTCTGTGGGTCTCGCAAGATCCACTACATCTTCTGTGAGATGTATGTCCTTCTGAGGTTGGCATGTTCCAACACTGAAGTCAACCATGTAGTGCTGGTTGCCACAGGCTGTTTCATTTTCTTTACCCCTTTAGGGCTCATGATCATGTCCTATGTCCGCATTGTCAGAACTATACTTCAGATACCCTCAGTCACTGGGAAATACAAAGCCTTCTCCACCTGTGGTTCCCACTTGGCTGTAGTTTCCCTCTTTTATGGGACACTTGGCATGGTGTATCTGCAGCCTCTCCACACCTACTCCATGAAGGACTCAATAGCCACAGTGATGTATGCTGTGGTGACCCCCATGATGAACCCTTTCATCTACAGCCTGAGGAATAAGGACATGCATGGGGCTCTGAGAAGACTCCTACAGAAACCTTTTCAGAGGTTAACATGAGGATAATGTCAGGTGTTGAAGTAGAGACAGCAAGTTTTCCTACCATGCAGAAGGCCTATGAGGGATACAGGAATTATTAGAACATACCTCCATCTTGGAATGCATCTATTGATTTGTGGTGAAGAAAAGACACTAGTAATTCAGTGTCCCCCAGACCTCACCAGCTTTGTCAATAAATAACACCACACAAACACACGTAAACTGAAAACTACATACCTCAAGGGTAGCTGTGAAGATTAAATGAGATAATGTTCAGTTCCCATGGCACAATGTCTAGCCCATTAATTGTGGGAGGCTGCGCACCAGCGAGTCTGCCGAGGTTTCTCAGAGAGCAAACAATTACCATGATTGGTTCCCTTCCAAAAACCTGACCTTCGAAACCTTGCTCTGATTGGCCACTAGAATCCCTCAGATTTGCATATCCGGCACCTCATGATTGGTCCAAAAGCAACCAATCATAACCCACTGTTAACAACCAATCACGGCCCACCGTTTACAACCAATCACAGCCCACCAGTGTGTATAT